GGGGGGGGGGGAGACCGGGAGCGCTACTTTTGATTTTTTTTACTGTCTCAAATTACTTTCGCGGATTTTACACTGATATATAACTAAAATGGGTTCTAAATTTTTATCCACAATATATGCTGGTTTCACAATTCAATGTTAATTTTCTTGCAATTTTACAAAATGTTCTTTTTATAAATATTTCATACAATTTGGCAACTCCCTTTCTTCTGGAATAACGCTCACATCATTTGTCATGCGGTCTTGTACGAGTTGAATATTTTCATAGCTTTTAACTGTATGAGGATGATCTTCGCCATACAGTTTTATTCTGATTTGAAGAGCGTGTTGATATGACTCTACAGCTGACTCGTAATCTTCCATGTCATATTGTGTGTCTCCAATGATATCATAACTTTCAGCAGTGTCAGGATGATTCTCTCCGAACAACTTTAACGCAATTTCTAGAGCTTGTTGTTGTGACTCTAATGCTGTCTTGTAATCTTTCATCTCACGTTGTGTGATTCCAAGGCTCCGATAACTGACAGCAGTCTCAGGGTGATACACCCCGTGCAGCTTTAATCTAGTTTGTACAACATATTGATGTAACTTTAATGCAGCTTTGTAGTTTTTTGCAGCACGTTGAGTTACTCCAATTCCACGATAATTTTCGACAGTGTCAGAATGATCTTCCCCATACAATTTTATTCTGATTTGAAGAGCTTTTTGTTTGGATTCTAATGCTGACTGGCAGTTTTTTATCTCATGCTGTGTTATTCCAATGCTGTCATAACTTTCAGCAGTGTCAGGATGGTCCTCGCCAAACAGTTTCAATCTAATGTGAAGAGCTTTTTGTTTAGATTCTAATGCTGACTTGTAATCTCGCATTTTATTTTGTGCGATTCCGATGCGGTCATAAATACTAACTATGTCAGAATGGTCTTCTCCGAACAGTTTGTAAGGAATTTTTATCTCATTTTGTGTCCAACTAATACTGTCATAACTTCCAGCAGTGTCAGAATGTTCTTCTCCAAACAGTTTCAATCTAATTTGAAGAGCTTTTTGTTTAGATTCTAATGCTGACTTGTAATCTTTCATCGCATGTTGTGTAATTCCAATGTTGTTATAACTTAGCGCAGTGTCAGAATGGTCTTCTCCAAACAGTTTTAATCTGATTTGAAGAGCTTTTTGTTTAGATTCTAATGCTGACTTGTAATCTATCATTGCATGTTGTGTAACTCCAATGTTGTCATAACTTCGAGCAGTGTCAGCATGGTCTTCTCCAAACAGTTTTAATCTGATTTGAAGAGCGTGTTGATGCGACTCCAACGCTGACTTGTAATCTTTCATCTCATATTGTGCAACTCCAATGCGGTGATAACTTCTAGCAGTATCAGAATGGTCTTCTCCAAACAGTTTTAATCTGATTTGAAGAGCATGTTGATGTGACCCCAACGCTGACTTGTAATCTTTCATCTTATGTTGTGTAACTCCAATGTTGTCATAACTTCGAGCAGTGTCAGAATGGTCTTCTCCAAACAGTTTTAATCTGATTTGAAGAGCGTGTTGATGCGACTCCAACGCTGACTTGTAATCTTTCATCTCATGTTGTGTAACTCCAATGTTGTAATAACTTAGAGCAGTGTCAGAATGGTCTTCTCCAAACAGTTTTAATCTGATTTGAAGAGCTTTTTGTTTAGACTCTAATGCTGATTTGTAGTCTTTCATCTCATGTTGTGTAACTCCAATGTTGTAATAACTTAGAGCAGTGTCAGAATGGTCTTCTCGAAACAGTTTTAATCTGATTTGAAGAGCATGTTGATGTGACTCCAATGCTGACTTGTAATCTTTCATCTCATGTTGTGTAACTCCAATGTTGTCATAACTTAGAGCAGTGTCAGAATGGTCTTCTCCAAACAGTTTTAATCTGATTTGAAGAGAATGTTGATGTGACTCCAACGCTGACTTGTAATCTTTCATCTCATGTTGTGTAACTCCAATGTTGTCATAACTTGTAGCAGTGTCAGAATGGTCTTCTCCAAACAGTTTTAATCTGATTTGAAGAGCATGTTGATATGACTCCAAAGCTGACTTGTAATCTTTCATCTCATGTTGTGTAACTCCAATGTTGTTATAACTTCGAGCAGTCTTAGAATGGTGTTCTCCATGAAAGTTTAAATATTTTTCAAGAGTTCTTTGTTCCGATATTAATTCTGAATCTTTGTTTTTCATTTTTTCTTCTTTTTTATTCTAATAAGAGAATGCAGCATGGTTGGTAAGTTATGTTATCGTCTGAAAGCATTCGTCTCAGCTTTAAAAATGCTGTCGGACATTGGAATCCTACAACTTCAGAGTGACAAGAATAAATTTATGAGGCGGGTGGCTTCGTAGTTTATAATTAAGAAGGAGCTAATCTTTTCATTTTGATTTTCTTTTAAATTTTTTTATTATAGCAAGACACTCAATTGACGGCAAGCAATAAATTTTATTCAAACATATAAATTTTTACATGTTACTAGAAAGAAATCCGTTTTGTTGTATTGGAACATGTGCATTTGTCCAGTGTGTCTGTTAGCTTTATGAAACCGCTTGTATCTTTGCAATTATATTTGGTGATCAAAAATATAACTGCCCGACAATTTAACAATGTAGGAAAATGAATTTAGTGCAACAAGTACCGTGTCAAAATCTGAAATTCTACTAATCTATTTGACTATTTTGACAGTATAATCGTTTCCGTGCAGTAAACTGACCCATGATTGGCATTAGTAGTGTAACTTATAAAAAAATAATTCTAGAACTTGTGGTACCTTCACACATTTCATCACCACGCAAACATGCAAACATTGATGTATTCAAAAGGCCTGTTTACACTTGCAATTTTTGCTGCGATTTTAGGTGCGATTTTCGTCTTCTAATGCTCCGAGTAGGCTATATGTACCCCCATCTCAACATTCATAATTCTTCCACTCGTTCATATCCATCAGATGAAGCAAATCGCACCTAAAATCGCAGCAACAAATGCAAGTGTAAATGTTTACCAAAACAAGAACATCTAATATCTTGGAAATAATTCAACCGAATTAACTGAAACGTAGAATGTTTCAGATGCACTATTGTTTAATTGTTTAAATCGTTGTCTTCGCAAAACATTAGTTACTATCTATATATAAGTATTCTATCCGTTCATGCAGTAATGTATCTTGTAAACCTTGTGCGATATACCTTGTTTTACTTATCAGTCAAAAGCTTATATACGAACTCAGGGCTGGATAGGAAGAATGACTCAGCAAAATTTCCTTACCCCCCCCCCCCC